ACTGCTGTCTGCCATCACACACACACACACACACGTTACTGAAATCTAAACTGCTGTCTGCCATCACTAAATCACCGTCAGAGARCTACCAGCAGGAACAGCAAGTCGTAAAGCAGGTGCTGCAGGCTCGAAATGCCGGAGCAAAGAGCTACGGGGTCAACAGCGCACACTTGACCTCACACACTTTGGGCTCACCCAAGTAAAAGACACAATTCGATCCCCGCTGCCAGTCTATCGCAGCAGATCTGACTCGAAGAACAGTAGTGTTTTACAGCATCAACTCTGCTTTCCCCCCTCTGCTGAAACTGTACGGTTTGTTTCTGTTTCATTATTTATCTGAAGGCTCTAAAAGACTCCTGTTTGACAGAATGGATGGAAGAGGAAAAGAGCTGACCGCAAGCTGCTTCACACTTCAAAAGAAGCACTGTCTCTCTGTGTGCGAGTGTGTGTATGAAGCAAAAAGTGAGTGAGTGGAAGAAGGAGACATGACGAGAAGCAACAAGTGTCTAAATGTTCCAGAAAACCCCTCGAAGATGGCCATCTGGACCGCACTCACACACAGACACTCATAAACACACACGTATAGGTGTCTCCAAGGATGCCGTCTGGTCTGAAGGAGAGAGTTGGTGGTGGATCTTGCAGACCCACACACACCAATGTGCATTTCATCAAGGCAATTGTGAGTCTGAGTGGGCTTGACCGTTTGGGAGTCTTCAATGGTAGACAGCTGGTGATCAGTGATGCACTACTTCTCCCTTGTGTGGCTGTGTGTCGACATGTACAGCAGAAACACAATGGGTAATGGTAATTGCTGTGCCAGCTTGCACTAATTGATTGAGGACAGCATGCCTATGCCCTCACTTGCACACACACACACGCGCGGAGATTAACACATTAGCACATGCACATACGCAGAGGCCAATCAGGCAGTCTGATAATGTGTCCCTGGAGAGCCAGAGCAGCCGGAGATCAGGGGTTTGAGGATGGGAGATGAGGAGGTGGTTGAGGAAATGGGGGAAAGGAGGTGAGGTTAAACRCTCCCCCAGCGAAGGCTCTTCGTTCAGAGCACACACGCAACAGCAGGTAAGCGGTGCGTGGCATGCAGGTCTGAGGGATTGCTTCTTATTGTTAGGTCTGTTTTTGTGATTGTTTCTCCCCTTCAAACAAAAGCTCCCCCCATCTCCCCTGCATGCCCCCCCATCTTTTCTCTCAAATATAAACATGCTGCCAAACACAAGAATACACACACAGAGATCTTCAGAACTCCCTGTACACCATCATGTCCCTGTCTTCCACCAAAAAAAAAAAAAAAAAAAACCTCACATGCTGATCACCATAGCAACACGTTATGTATCTTCCAGCAGTATTTATCCCACCCAGAGAGGAGGGGTTGTGTTTGGTAGTGTAGATGGAGATGGGAAGCAGAGGTGGTGTGTGTGTGTATATGTGTGTGTGTRTGAGAGAGAGAGAGAGGAGGGGGTCGTGATGCAACTCTTCTAAAAATCAATGGTCACACTATCAGGAAGGGGTGCGGTTCACACTGATGGCCACGAGTCGGCAGCAGCGTCCAGCTCAGCGAGACTCCAGCATCATCATCATCAGCATCAGCAGCAGCAGCAGCAGCAGCAGCAGCAGGCATCATCACCTCAACACCAGTGGCTCACTGTCATCATCAAAGACTACATACAGGCAGCGCGCTTCTCAGTAAATAAATATATCTCAGCGTATTCTAGATATATCTTTTTTTATTAGAAGAAGTGCAGACGACTAAATTTGTTTTGTGTGTTTGTTTGAGTGACAACCACTGGGCTGGATGCGAGAGGTTCAAAGGAGGCGGCGTCTCCAGCCCGTCACCCAAAGCAACACCTCCCAGTGGGATGCGGTTCAAGGATGGATAAAATGATCGAAGAGTGGAAGAGATAAATACGAAAAAAAGAGCAAATGATTGCAAGGC